AAGCTTCAATTTCGCAGTCTTCGGTTGCAAAATTACTGTACGAGCTTGTTACATTTTGCCAGTAAAATAATTTGCTTAGCGATGCATGTTTTGTTTGACCGTGATAGATTTCACGCATCTGTTCACGTGATCGCACATGATGCTTCTGACTGATGCAACATGTTTACGCCAGTGAACTCAATAGACCTTTTGAGTTCACTGGTTTACGCCGATATATTACCGTCGTTTGCAGCTGCAAATGAACAGTTGCTTTACAGTTGCTCTAGTTGCAAGCCTCTGCATGGTTGTAAGCGAAGGAAGAAATGTGTTCATCAGTTCATACAACATTTCTTTACAACCCTGTTATTTGGTGCCCTTGAAATTGACTTTGTCAAAAATAACCCCCAAAAATTCAATCTTCCTATTTAGAACTTTAACATTTCACAGTGAGCTTACCTAGTGCTAAGCCTCAGATTACGAAATCAACGAAAATAAATTTCATAAATTGTAATAAGCAAAATGTCTGCTTTTGTTAAAAGTAAATTTTTACTGTATATTTTAGGGTTTTACAGCCATTTTTGCTGTAATTTTCATTAACCAACCATAAATTATCATATCGTTATAAATTAGGTATTATTATACTTTTACAGATTATTAATATTAGATTTGTAAAAATACATAAATTTGTATTTTCACATAGTTTTTTCTGTGTTACATATTTGCTGCAAACTACTTGTAAAATTACCATAATTATCTCGTAAAAAAACAAAAAAGAGTTTTCCTACAGCTAATAAGACTGTAATTTGTAACAACAGAAAAATCACTGTAAAATTTTACAGCATTTTTTATGTAAAAAAACATCAATTTTTAACAGTGTAGGACGTCAGGGCTATGCAGAGGACTGGGACTAGGATGTCGTCCTAACGTAGTCCCAGTTCTCTGCTTAGCCCTGACGTCCTAGCTGGCGTCGACGTCGTAGATCTTAAGCTGTCTATTTAAAATCAATCAATTCATTGATTGTCTTCAAAAGCAAATTGAAAAAATCTCTACTGTAACAGAGAGCTGTATATATCGTAAATATAATCACTCTCCTATATAAAAACATTTTTAAGTATATTTTTTTGAATTATAGGTATTAGTTATTTTGT